TCTGCCCTGCTGCCAGCTCTTCCACTGGGGTAACCCATGGTAAGTCAGGCTCTGATACAGGGGAAAAGGGGGGGCAGAGGCTAACAGAGCTCTGCCCAGAGGCCAGCTCTTCTGCTGGGAGGGGGTCAGTGGGTATCGCAGGCTCATCCACTGCCCCCAGGACCCGGTTGGGATGTAGCTGGGGAGGGGAAGTTTTGCTTACCTCCTCCTCCTGGCATCCCTGCGGGGTTGGTTGGGGATCTGGACCGCCTGTCCAGCCTCCCTGTAGGACTGGCACAGAGACCGCGGTCCCATCTGCGCCAGTGTGGTTAGGTTTGTCTTCCCCCTCTCCCGGTATCTCTGGCTGCTGTTGGAGGGGGAGGCTGGTTGCCCCCACTCCCCAGGACGCTGGTTGCTGTAAGGTGGAGGGATCGACCATCACCTCCTCCTGGAACTCAGGCCGCCGCTGGGGAGAGAGACCAGTTGTCTCCTCTCCCTGTATATTATGCTGCCGCTGGGGACCTGGGCTGACTGCCCAGCATCCCTGTAGGGCCGGCAGAGAGACTTCGGTCCCATCTCCGCTTGCCATCTCTGTGTGTCCCCAGGACAAGTCTATGAGGTCGCCCACCTCCGGCTGCTGTTGGAGAGGGAGGCCGGTTGCCTCCCCTCCCCAGGACGCTGGTTGCTGTACGGGGGAGGGATCTACCATCACCTCCTCCTGGAACTCAGGCCGCCGCTGGGGAGAGAGACCGGTTGTCTCTTCCCTCTGTACGGTGCACTGCCGCTGGGATGGGAGGTCGCTGCTCTCCTCTCCCTGTAACTCACTCTGTCGCTGGAGACGGGGTGTCAATACCCCCAAACTCCACAGTTGGTACTCGAAGTTCCGTGCGTCTTGGTTCTCAGCACTCAACATGTGCATCACTTGATGGACCACCTCATCTGAAGGGTTTGGGCCAAACCAGACCAGCCGCGCCTTTACTTCCTTCATGAAATCAGCACCCTCATAGCACTGTGACAGGCGGATTTGCAATTCACTGGCTGCTGTCCAGGGTCTTGCTAGCTCCATGTTGCTGTAGGTAGGGACGCTGCGCAGAGGCTAGCGTTGCCCTCAATTATAAATCCGTAACTCCACACGTTACCGGTGTCTCTGAGCTGCTGGTCCTCGCACTAGGACGCCATCCCACCGCTGCCACCAAATGTGACGGAACGCTGGCACTCCGACTGAGTACCTCCGCCAATCGATGCTCCTAGTGCTCGCTGAGGACTCCAAGCACTCCAACCGACACCATCAGCACTGCAGACCCCACTTCCAGCGATGCAACTGCGCCGGGGTCTCTGCTGTTTCCACCCACCCTGGACCCAAGGCCAGGATCCAGCTTCCAGTGGGTGAACCTCTCTTCCCCAGAGAGCAGGAACAGGAACAAATCAAGCTATTGCAAGAGCTTCCTCTGGGGAGTAAGTGATTATAGCAATCCCCAGAGTGTAGGTATCCCTTCCCCCAAACATGAGCCAAGGCTTAATGCTGGAACAAGACTGATTTACTGGCACACAGAACTCACAATTTATGCAACACAAAACTCCTCCTCTGGGCCAGGCTAGATAATTGAGTTTCTACAATACACAAAGCTCAATTATCTGCTGGCCAGAAATAATACAGTTTCATAAACCACACAGGGACCCCAAAATATGCAATAACCCCATAAAGTATATCCTTGGAACCGGGGGATCTGGTTGAACCACATATCCAAAATTCACCCAGATCCGTTCAGTACTTTGGAAAATACAGTTTAATGCAGATTCTGCAGAACATATACAGGCTAAATGAAAAACAATCACTTTATAATGTGTCCCCTGCTGTATAGTCCAAAACCACTGCACGATGTCTCTGTGCACCAAATACTGGCGAGATGGCACCGTGTTGAAAAGTCCAAACAGTGTCTGTGAGTTAAAATGGCCGCCATCCATTGTTCTCACCATGTGCTTCTGATACAGGAAATGGTGGCCACCCAGTAACTCCACAGTATGTCCCCAGATGGTTCTTAAAGGGCCAGCAGCAGCACAACACAAATCCATTATGCCCAAATCATGTCTTTAAAGGGCAATACAAACCAGGGGCCATAGTCACAGGGCAAGAGGCGGGCAAGCAGTCCTCTCCAGGCACAAGTGGCGAAGGGCACTTTGTCACAAAACATATTTAGCCACCCTCCTGTATCCTTACATTTTGGGTACAGAAAGGTGGCTTCCCTGGTGTCCAGTGAGAGCTTGCTGACCCAGGCTGATGGGAGTCTGCCATCAGCTTTCTCAGTCCCTCTCCCCCACAATGCTTGCATCCTCCTCCATGTGGTGTGTGTTTGCCTCCTCGCCAGCGGCACTGAAGAGGAAGTGATCAGTTCTTACTCGGAGGAAGCAATCTGACCTCACTTCCTCCCAGCATGCCCAGGAAACAAAGAGACTCACAGGGCAGTATGTGAGGGGGCTAGCTGTGAGTATGTAGTCAGCCACCCCCCATATAACAGGGGCCCGGGCCGGTCCAGAGCAGTATTAAAGGGCTGTGGCCCTGATTACCTCAGGTGCCGCAGGGGGCCCATGGGGCAGCTGCCTTAGGGCCCCCAGGAGTAACTGGGCCCGGGGCAGCTGCCCCTTTTGCCCCTCCTTAAAGACGGCCCTGCATACAACCACACACACGTGTACCTGCTCTCATTTCTCAGGTCTTGCTGCCATGCTTCCCATGATCTTGTAGCTCCTGCTTAAAGGGACACTATAGTCATCACAACAACTATAGGTTAATGTAGTTGTTCTGGTGAGTATAATCATTGCCTTCAGGCATTTTTATTATTCAAACACTGCCTTTTCAGAGAAAAGGCAGTATTTACATTGCCCCTAGGGACACCTCCAAGTGGCCACTCCTCAGATGGCCAGTGGAAATGCTTCCTAGGGTAGTGCTGCACAGTAGGAAGCACTGCCGTTCAGCGTCTCCACGCTCTGCATGGGGACGCTGAATTTTCCTCATAGAGATGCATTGATTTAATGCATCTCTATGAAGAAGTGCTGATTGGCCAAAACGGCATTTGGCTCCGCCCCCCATCCTGCATTCTTGCCGATTTTAGCCAATCCAATGCTTTCCCTATGGGAAAGTGTAAAGTGGCATATCTCCTAAATGTCTACCATTATTGTAGATGGGTAGCAGATGGACAGCTGCTGGTACATATTTTCAGCACTTTTAGACTTGCTAATATTTGCGATTTCTTCAGAGCACTAAGTGCATTTAATCACTCCTCTCTCTGTGATCAGAAGCTCTACTCTCAGTGGGGATCAAAGTGGGAGGAGAATGATTATATGCACAATGCTTGACATTTAAATTGTGCATGGATAGGGTTAATAAGTGCTGTGCCTCTGAGGGGTCAGGCTGTAAAGGAAAATCAATGTAATCTGACTCTACCCTTGTTCACACACAGCATTTTAAGTAACACAATAGTGTCAGGAATAAACATAGAAACATAGAATGTAATGACAGATAAGAAACATTTGGCCCATCTAGGCTGCCCAATTTTCTAAATACTTTCATTAGTCCCTGCTCTCATTTCTCAGTATAGGATAGCCTTATGCCTATCCCACGCATGCTTAAACTCCCTCACTGTGTTAATCTCCACCACTTCAGCTGAAAGGCTATTACATGCGTCCACTACCCTATCTGTAAAGTAATATTTTCTGAAATTATTTTTAAACCTTTGCCCCTCTAATTTAAGACTATGTCCTCTTGTTGTGGTAATTTTTCTTCTTTTAAATATACTGTCCTCCTTTACTTTGTTGATTCCCTTTATGTATTTAAATGTTTCTATCATATCCACCCTGTCTCGTCTTTCCTTTAAGCTATACATGTTAAAATCCTTTAACCTTTCCTGGTAAGTTTTATCCCGCAATCCATGAACCAGTTTAGTAGCCCTTCTCTGAACCCTCTCTAAGGTATCAATATCCTTCTGAAGATACAGTCTCCAGTACTGCGTACAATACGCCAAGTGAGGTTTCACCAGTGTTCTGTACAATGGCATGAGCACTTCCCTCTTTCTACTGCTAATACCGCTCCCTATACAACCAAGCATTCTGCTAGCATTTCCTGCTGCTATATTACATTGTCTGCCTATCTTTAAGTCATCAGAAATAATCACCCCAAATCCCTTTCCTCATATGTTGAGGTTAGGACTCTATCAAATATTCTGTACTTTGTACTTTTACGCCCAAGATGCATTATCTTGCCCTTATCCACATTAAATGTCAGTTGCCACAGAATACAAACATGTATTCCTGACATTATAGTCATGACGTGGCTGTTTAGGTGATTGGTCCCCTTCGATTTCAGATGTCTCACCGTAGCTGGCCCAGTCTGGCTCCGCCTCCACAAAGGAAATAGTAAAGCCCCTCTAAAATGGACTTGAAGATGGGAGAATCCCTAGTCTTAATATTGGCCGTATCAAAATAGAAGGCTATACATCTGTGCTTAAGTCATCAATTCAAGTAAGGGAGATAATCATGGAGGGAATGGGAAGGGTAGAATCATGGAGGAGAAAGGGAGGGGAGCTGGTAGAGAAACATGGAGGGGCAAGGGAGGGGAGCTGGTAGAGAAACATGGAGGGGTTGAAAGAGCTGGGGGGTGAGACATGTAGAAGGGTTGGGGCATTGAGAAAGGTGAGGGAGTGGATGGAAGAATGAGACATGTGGAGGGACTAAGGGGGGGAGAATGAGACACGTAGAGGGGCTAAGGGTGGGAATAAGACAGGTGGAGGGTTTAAGGGGGGTAATAAAACACGTGGGAATTGAGACACATAGGGGGGGGAGCCCGGGCCAATTTAAAGTGTCGCAACTCTCCTGCCTGATGAACAGAAGCCACTTTCTGTGTTCTTTTTATGTATATTTTCATCATGTGTTCCATTGTATATTTTGCCTTTTCTTAGGAGGAAAGAGATGCTTTCCTTGTTGCTGACCTAGGAGTAGTGGTAAAGAAGCACTTGGATTTCATAAAATTGATGCCACGTGTGAAGCCATTCTATGCCGTGAAGTGTAACAACAGCAGAGTTGTGGTGAAGTTGCTTGCTGACCTAGGAGCTGGATTTGATTGTGCCAGTAAGGTAATGATGTGTTGTTATGGGATGTTTATGGTAGACTTGTGCATGGCAAGATAATTCAATTCACCCAATCATTATTCTAGAAAATAGGACATTCTTCAGGACATATGGCAGTTTGATTCGGCAGAGTTTCCAGTATCAGGATCCCATTTCAGGAAACAAATCAAAAGAGCTTGAAAATGGGCCAATCAATATACTACAAAATGTATATGTAATATAATATTTTGCAGTACACTGTAAGCTTTCCCCCGCCATTTGGTTCACAGAGCAAGTGTGAAAAAATAAGAGTAAAAGCTATAAAAAGAGGAAGAGCTCCACCATTTTTAATATATTTTGTCTGTGCTGTGGGCTGAATAACAATTCATTTGGTTTGTAATTTAGGTACATTGTGGTTCGAAATTTTGGAACTCGACTGATCTCCCGATCGGCCAAATTTGGGCAAATTGCCCTTTAAACCCAAATTAATCTCGGTGCAGTTGGACACATACCAGGAATTGATAATACACTGCCTGCTTTACCCTCTTTTCTGCAGCCTGAGATTGAATTTGTGCAGGAAATTGGAGTGAAGCCGGAACAAATTATCTATGCAAACCCCTGTAAGCAGATCTCTCAGATCAGGTTTGCAGCCAAGAGTGGGGTTCAGATGATGACCTTTGATAATGAAGAGGAGCTGGTCAAGGTCTCACAGAGCCATCCTAATGCTAAGTATGAATTTATATAAGGTGTAGTTAGAACTGTGTATATGACTTTGAAGTCTTTAATTCAGTAATGAAACAATCTAACAATGATTACTGTATTTACAGAATGGTCTTACGTATAACAACAGATGACTCAAAGTCTACCATATGTCTGAGTGTGAAATTTGGGGCATCTTTAAATGTTTGCAGACACTTACTGGAAATGGCTATGAAACTTAATGTAGAGGTCATTGGTGTAAGGTGAGTGTCCAAAACTTGTGCATGGAAGTTACATCCTATATTATAAAAATACCTGCAAGAGGGAGGCCTTCATTCTCACTTTTTAAACGAAATAACCAAACTGGAAGTATATCTGACATGGAGATTTTTTCAGAATTCTATTATTTTGGCCTTACATTGGAAATTAATTTAGAATTCTTCACAATTCTCACTTTAGTAAATAACTGTTTTTTTATGCAGCCTTAGGCAAACCTCCCCTCACTGTGATTCACACAACGCCCATGGAAAAAAAAACCACCTACATTTTTTGAAGCACAATGTGCTTAGTTTACTTTTTATATTCTTATCTCTTGCTTTGTTAATTCATGTTTAAAGGACCGCTATAGTGCCAGGAAAACATGCTCGTTTTCCTGGCACTATAGTGCCCTGAAGGTGCCCCCACCCTCAGTGTCCCCCTCCCGCCGGGCTCTGGGGAGAGGAAGGGGTTAAACTTACCTCTTTCTCCAGCGCCGGGCAGGGAACTCTCCTCCCTCTTCTCCTCCTCTTCGGCTGAATGCGCATGCGCGGCAAGAGCCGCGCGCGCATTCAGCCAGTCCATAGGAAAGCATTCACAATGCTTTCCTATGGACGCTGGTGTCTTCTCACAGTGAGAAGCACGCAAGCGCCTCTAGTGGCTGTCAATAGACAGCCACTGGAGGCTGGATTAACCCATTTATAAACATAGCAGTTTCTCTGAAACTGCTATGTTTACTAAAAAAAAGGGTTGATCCTGGATGGACCTGGCACTCAGACCACTTCATTAAGCTGAAGAGGTCTGGGTGCCTATAGTGGTCCTTTAAGCACACACATGAGGCAGCTGCAGGCTGTAGCAGGCAATTAACAGAACAAGTAACACATTTTTCTTAATTAAACTTAAACACACTCAGGGTTATTCCCTAAAGTGGGAAATCAAAGTGAATTAATAGTAATTTTCAAATGTAAAGCTAAATAATGAACTGGAAACATAACTGAATTATAGATTTTTTTTTTCCATTTCATCTACTTTGACCTTACATTTGACATTTACTTTGAATTCTCACTTTAGTTAATAACCCTGACTGTGTAATAAGAGAAACTAAACATTTACAGGGCTATTTACTAAAGTAAGTAGTCAATGTAAATTTCACATTTAAGTTCAAAATTTCCAAACTGGAAAAATAGTCTAAGTTGGCTATGCTAAAGTTAATTGCCATGATGTGAATTGTTCATTTTAGAGACACGTGCACTTTATTTATATGTGTATTTCTTTTTAACTAATCTCTCTGGCATTTTGCCTTTGTATTGATGTTTGATATGCTTTAAAGGGACACCCTACTGCCCAAACACAAAAATAATAAATATCACTGTTCAGTAGATATACCCTAAATGAAACCATGCATACATTTTAATTATGCTTTTTTTGAGGGTATATCCAACAAAAGCTTGCACAAGCGGCAGTTCTCTTTTCTGCTGCATTTACAAGCCCTCCCCTTCTATGTCCCGATTTTCTGTCTGTCCTATCACAGACTTCCCAATGCAGCTCAATTTAAAGTATTTCTGAGCAATTGCTTGTCTCTTGAGTTTAGCTCCACTCAGGGCCGGCGCTTCCTATAAGGCGAACTAGGCAGCCGCCTAGGGCGCCATATAGGATGGGGCGCCCTGCGCCCCCATCGCCGGCCCTTTAAATGCCACAGCCGCCTGAGCGCTCTATAGAGAGCGCTCAGACGGCTGCTGCACTGCCTCACCTCCCCTTCCCTGTAGCGTGGCAGAGCTGCTTTCCGTTCCACGACCCGACCGGACTGACAGGAAGTGCACACTGAGTGTGCACTTCCTGTCAGTCCGGCCGGGTCGCGGACCGGATAGGAGCTCGGCCACGCTTCTGTGGAGGTGAAGAGAGGATTACGGCCGGGTCGCGGACCGGATAGGAGCTCGGCCACGCTTCTGTGGAGGTGAAGAGAGGATTACAGGGGAGGAGAGAAGATTATAGAGTGGGGAGAAGATTATGCTGGGAGAAGATTATAGGGGGAGAGATTATAGGGGAGCCGGGAAGAAGATTATAGAGGAGGGGGGAGAAGATTATAGGGAGGGGGGAGAAGATTATAGGAGGGGGGGGGACATGGGCTAAAGGGGAGAAGATTGAAGAGGGAGGAGGGGGGGAGAAGATTACAGGGGGGAAAGATTATAGGAGGGGGGAGAAGATTACAGGGAGGAGGGGGGGAGTGGAGAAGATTGAGGGAGGAAGGTGGAGAAGATTGGAGTGGAGCTGAGAAGAAGATTGAGGGGAGGGAGGGGGGAGGGAGAAGATTGAGGAGGGGGGGAGTGGAGAGACTGAGAGAGGGGGGAGAAGAAGAAGATTGTAGAGGAGGGGGGAGTGAGAAGAAGAAGAAGAAGATTACAGGAGGGAGGGAGAGGAGAAGGTTGAGGAGGGGAGTGGAGAAGATTGGAGGGAGGGGAGAAGAAGAGGATTGAGGAGGAGGGGGGAGGGAGAAGATTGTGAGGAGGGGGAGAAGAAGAAGATTGGAGGGAGGGAGGGGGTGGAGAAGATTGGAGGGAGGTGGAGAAGAAGAAGATTGAGGGAGGGAGGAGGGAGGGAGGAGGGGAGAAGAAGAAGATTGAGGAGGAGGGGAAGGAGAAGAAGAAGACACAGAGAGGGAGGGGGAGAAGAAGAGAAGATTACGGGGAGAAGAAGAGATTACAGGGAGGGAAGGGGGGAGAAGAAGAGAATATTACAGGGGAGGAGAAGAAGAGATTACAGGGACGGGGGAGAAGAAGAGGAGAACACAGGGAGGGGGGAATAAGAGGAGAACACAGGGGTGGGAGATGAGAACGTAGGGGAGGGAGAGACCACTGAAGGAGGGAGGGGATGGTGGAGAGACCACTAGGGGAGGGGTGTGAGGAGAGTCCGCTAAGGGAGGGGGGTGGAGGATAGACCACTGGGGAGGGTGGGGGGAGAGGAGAGAGCACTAATGGAAAGTCGGGGAGAAAAGGAGACCACTAAGGGAGGTGGGGGGGAGAGGAGAGACCACTAAGGGGCAGGGGAGATCTCTAAGGAATGGAAGGGAGAGCTCTATAGGACAGGGGGCAGGACAGGGAGCTCTTTCACACCACGCGCACACACACACACACACACACACCCAGTTGCATCCCTATACACACAGAAACACAACATGCTTCCCTTATACACAGAGAAACACACAATGCAACCCTTACACATAAAGACAATGCATCCTTTGCACATATACACAGAAACACACAATGCATCCCTTACACACACATGCAAACACACACTGCTTCTCTTACACACACACAGAAACACAATGCATCTCTTACATACACTCAACGCACCCCTTACAGACAAACACACTGCATCCCTTACATACACAGAAACACACTTTGCATCCCTTATGCATACAAACACAGATTCACACAATGCATCCCTTACACACAACAAGGAACACACAATACATCCCTTATACACTCACTGCTTTCTATCCCTTACACAAAAAACACACTGCTTCCACTACACACAAACACACTGCATCACCTACACAAACTGGTATCCCTATACACTACATTCCATAAGCACACACATTAGATCCTCTACAGTAACACATAACACATCCCCTACACACTCTACTCCCTGTGAGCGAACTCATGGGTGGAACATGTAGGTGGACTTATGGGTGGGCTTTATGAGCATACTCACTGCCAGGCCCTGGGGCCCAGACCTTGAGCTATGTAGGAGGCCACAAAAAATTGAGCTGCTTCCCGTTCTCCCAGAACATTGAATTTTGTGACCACAGTTACGAACAGCCTCCAGAGATCCTGTTCTACACCAGACCAGTGGAGCCAGACTGCAGCCAGAGCCCATCACCATCCTCATCTGATTGTAAGTAGGCAATCTAGTATATTATTAGTGACACTAATCTCTAATTTACCTCACATTAAATGGACACTATAGTCCCCAGAACCACTGCAGCTTAATAAAGTTGTTCTGGTGTCTATAGTTTGTCCCCTGCAGGCTTTTTAATGTAAACACACACTGTGTGCAGCACTGGCACTAGTTCATATGGCAGATCATATGGGTGGGGCATTGCGATGTCCCGGGGGGGTCCCTAGGGCGGCAAAAATCCTTGCACCGGCCCTGGCTCCACTGCGTAAACCAAACCAGGAAGTAACAAGACTGATAATCTGATTCACAGCCTAGGGATGTAACAAGGCTAATTTGCAAAAGTGCCAGTTTGTATCGAAATCTGCACTTTTTGAAAAGTGAAAAAGAGGGCATACTCTTCACATATAATGTATTTTAGTGTCCCTCTAAGATGTTCTTTTGTGTTTAACTCCTTCACTGCTGTGCCGCAGCGCTGTCACACATTACCATTTAACATCATCACTCAGCCTGCTGTGTATCCCATCAGTCCTGAAATAGATAGAACCTCAGGAGATATATATACACTGAACAAAATTATAAATGCAACACTTTTGTTTTTGCCCCCATTTTTCATGAGCTCAAAGATCTAAGACTTTTTCTTTGTACACAAAAGGCCTATTTCTCTCAAATATTGTTCACAAATCTGTCTAAATCTGTGTTAGTGAGCACTTCTCCTTTGCTGAGATAATCCATCTACCTCACATGTGTGGCATATCAAGATGCTGATTAGACAGCATTACTATTGCACAGGTGTGCCTTAGGCTGGCCACAATAAAAGGCCACTCTAAAATGTGCAGTTTTATCATACAGCACAATGCCACAGATGCTGCAAGTTTTGAGGGAGCGTGCAATTGGCTTGCTGACTGCAGAAATGTCCACCAAAGCTGCTGCCGGTAAGGGGATTGTTCATTTCTCTACCATAAGCCGTCTCCAAAGGTGTTTCAAAGAATTTGTTAGTATATCCAACCGGCCTCACAACCGCATACCACATGTAACCACACCAGCCCAGGACATCCACATCCAGCATCTTCACCTCCAAGATCGTCTGAGACCAGCCACCCGGACAGCTGCTGCAACAATTGGTTTGCATAACCAAAGAATTTCTGCACAAACTGCCAGAAACCATCTCAGAGAAGCTCATCTGCATGCTCCTCGTCCTCATCAGGGTCTCGACCCGACTGCAGTTCGTCATCGTAACCTCATGAAAAATGGGGGCAAAAACAAAAGTGTTGCGTTTATAATTTTGTTCAGTGTATATATATGTTAAAGGACCTCCCGATCACATGGCCCAAGAGGGCCGGATCGGCAGCAGGGAGACTGCCTGGGATGCCAGGCAAATCATCCAATCACGATTGCCAGCAAGCAGATAAGTACATAGGACAGCGGGGACTGTCAAATGTTATAAGTCGCAGTCGAAATGTTTTGGTCAATAAAGTTCAACTACAGCCGATTCATAATACTGTAAACACATATTTAACCCCTTAAGGATGGCGGTCATGCTACCCTACTCTAAATGCCGGCGGGCAGCATAGTACGTCCCTGCCGTCCAATGCACTTACCTGCTTGCCGGCGCTCGCGATTGGGGGACTTGCCTGGCATGCCAGGCAGTCCCCCTGCTGGCGATCCGGCCCTCCTGGGCCATGTGATCGCGAGGTCCTTATGAGGACCTCACAATCACATGGACCGAATAGCCGTCCATAGCAGTGCCAGCAGGAGAAGTGCCTGGAATGACAGGTAGTCCACCTGCTGCCTGTAATAAAGTAAAATAAAGTTTTAAAATAGTTTAAAATAAAATAATATATACTTAGATTGTATATAAATACACACATATATATATATATATATATATATATATATACACTTAAACAGTGTATTTGTATGTATGTGTATTTTAATAATATATATATATATATATATATATATATATATATATATAACTAGTTTTTTGCATTTTTCACACAAATTTTAACGCTAACTTTGGCCAGTGTTTGTGACTAAGTGACTACTAAAAAAGACTGGACATTCCCCATTTGCAATACCTTGGGTTGTCTACTATTGCAAATGGTATGCCATCCTGGGGGTAATTCTCATTCCTGGGCTACCATACGGTCTCAAAGGCAAAAAAAACAATCTGGCGAATTTCAATGTGAAAAAACTGAAAAATGTAACATGCTGTATTTGACCCTGTAACTTCCCAAAACACCAAAAAACCTGTACATATTCCTATTAAATTATATTTCATATCTAAATATTTGATGTTAAATGAAAGCCCTATTTCTCCTGAAAAAAATGATCAATAATAAGTGTGGGTGCACTTAGTATGAAAGAGGTGAATTACGGTTGAACAGACATATAGTCAAATTCCAAGATTTATTGATCAAAACATGTACATTTGGCTCAGTCCTTAAGGCAGGCTTCCCCAAACTCCAGCCCTCCAGATGTTGCTGAACTACAAGTCCCATGATTCTCAACCCATCTATGTCATTCATAGAATCATGGGAGTTGTAGTTCAGCAACATCTGGAGGGCCGGAGTTTGAGGACGCCTGCCTTAAGGGGTTAAACACACAGATTTCATTACTCTGAGGACCTGATCAATTAATTTCAAATATTATCTGCAGATATTCTCTGACCAATGAAATTTAGATATACTGCAGCCACTATAGCATCAGGTAACTCTTGTGCACACTACATAACTCTAATCCTTCAATGTCACCTTTTAAGCTATCAGTATCTTCTGGTGAGAGTGTTGGGGAGGATTTAACAGGGAGGGAGAGGAGTTCCAGTGACACAGGGGAGAAACACAGCAATATGGCAGGGCACCGGCAAGGACAGAACAGGAGGCACATCTCTCCACAATGTTCAAGATCCTCTGAAAAGGAAGAACATCATCCAGGAGTCAATCTAACCTAACAGCCAGGACCCAAGTTTTCCTTTGAAGAGAACTGCACACTGGTGGCTTTTGTTGTGAGAGTGCGTGGAGTCCTATTTTTGTCATCCATCAATGCATTGATGAAGTACTCTACCTGGGAGAAAATGAGGGAAATCGTGGATGCAGTTGTAGCATAAGCTATGTCTAACACAGGTACAATGCCATGCTCCAAATATCACGGTACAATTACAATGATTTATTTAGTGCCAACATATTGTACAGCACTGAACAATAGCTACAATAGCAATCATGTTAGAAATTAAACAGTCTATTCAGTAAAAAGTTAAATTGAATTGAATTTGCAAGAGAATTCCAAGTGAATTGCAAAACCTAGGCCAAGTAGCTGGTCTAGAAAACCAGCTAAAATTCGCCAGATTTTTCCAGCTCAGCTATTCTTGTTTAGATTTTGCCATTTCCTTAGAATTTGCTTGCAAATTCACCTCTATTCCCTTTAAAGTGAATAGATTCTTAAATGTAAAATATATAAGCACACAATTTATTAGACATGTGCATTTGTTTTCCTACTAATTGAATTTCAGCTGAATTTGCCAGAATTCCAGAACACAGAAGCTTACAAATTCCAAATTTGACATCTAAAATGACCAATCATGAACGTTTTCTGAACTAAATGATCTAACATTTTTTTGGATCCATTTTTTTTCATAAGAATAGCAAAATAGGGACATATCTATTAAGTAACCAGAACAGCAAAACAATAGCAATCACACGTAAGCATAGGATACCAAGCTAGGGAGCTATCTACTAAACAGATGAAAGCTAAACATAGAAAAGCCCCTTTTTAAACTTGCTCTTTACTATTTAGTAGATTAGTCCTTAATTTGATACCCTTGAAATGTATTCCTAACGTTACAGTGTTCCTTTAAGGTGCTACTGCTGAACAATGTGAAAGTGAAGAGACAGTGTCTGACAGCTCTCCCCAACTCCAGACTTTGAATACATCTCTGTACTGATATGCATCCACTGGCTCAATCCATGCTTTGAATCACTCCCTCTTACCTTGCCAACAGTTCTCCACTGCAGTCCAGGCAGGCACTGTAAGTACTGATCCACAGCCATGTAGGACTTTGTCTGATACTCTGCATATAGAAATTGAACTAAAACGTTTAGTAGTGACCTCAAATAGTAGTGTCTTGCCTTCAGCACTGCAGTTCTTGCTGGCATTTCCAACGAGTCTCACCCAGTTATTTAGCTGGCTAAATGTCTTGAGAAATATAATGTACTTAAACAGGAGTGTTACTGGTAAGTGATGAGGGTTCTAAAGCATAAAAATGATTTGTTTTAATTAAATAATAATTTATATAATAAATGGAATAAAATGGGTTATTAAGTGACACTATAAGTAATAACCTTAATATATTATTGATACAATATGGGTATATGGGGCAAAATTCTGCATGTTTGGGACAAAGTTTACAGAGAAGGGCAAGATCAAATTTCAGGGGTGGAGCGTAGCACACCACCATCTAAAAACGTTACCAGCTGCCACTGCTTATCAAAATCAAATAAGTCCTGTTTAGTTTAGTTAAGTCTACTCACAAAAATATGAATTAAATGGAATTTGTAAGGGAATTTTAACATCTAGGTCAAATTAGCCAAACTTTGAAAAAAAAGTCAGCTTCAATTATGTATAAAACACGTGTTCCATGATACAAGGGGGCATTGTACATTTTAAAGCAATCTAACATAAACCAATACACATGTTTTCTTACGCATTAACATCCACTCATCAAATGGATATATATATCAGTGTTGTCAGGTGTGCTAGAATACTGGCATATTTACACACAAGCATTAGTATGTTGATCTATAGCATTATCAGCCATGCTGCAATAATTCATTGTGAATCCTTTTATAAGCCATTTTTTATTAAAACTGCTACATATCTCACTACATACAATTGCATATACATACATCAAGGTCACTATGTCATGTGCATAACCTATTTAGCCAGTGTTATGTGTTAATTTATATCAAGTTCAAACCGGCAGCACAATATAGATTTAATCAACATTTCTATAACTCTTTAGATAGCAATACATTCTATTTTTTACTAGAGTCACAAATGACATAATTCTTTTAACATAAAACCATGCACTGTGTGTTAATAAAAGGATAGCACTGACAAAGTTACATGCCATTTCTCTACAACATGTCAATAAATAAATTTCTTTGCACACAACTAACATTTCCTGTCCCGTCTGTTTCAGGTGAATGTGGCCTTTCTGCTGGCTGAGGAGAGACCAGGACAGCCAGCATCACTTACCTGTCCTTACATCACTTGGAAGGCAGTCAGATTGAGGCCGAGCTATATCCTGCACAATCCACCATGTCTTGCTGCTGCCCATGCACTGCCAATTGATTTTTTGTTTTTCTTTGTATTTTTTAAGCGGCAACATATTCAGCGATTCTGTATATTTTTAAACAATACTTACTAAGTGATCTGCGTGCCAAGTCTCTCAGGTTTGTAATCCTTACATGTAAACATAGCAGCTTCAGAGAAACTGCTATGTTTGCATAGCAGGGTAAATCCAACCTCTAGTGGCTGTCTTCCTGACAGCCGCTAGAGGCACTTCTGCAACGCTGGATGCGAAATCCGCATCCAACATGCAGAACGTCCATAGGAAAGCATTGCCGCGCATGCGCATTCTGCTCCACTCGGGAGCTGACGTCGGCGGGGGAGGAGAGGTCACAAGCGCCGAGGGAGAGGTCACAAGCGCCTTAAGGTATTGTATAGCGCCCAAAGATTGTATAGTGTCAGGAAAACGGGTTTGTTTTCCTGACACTATAGTGATCCTTTAAGGTTACTGAGGCAATGTCCCAGCATTCTGGTGGAGGTGGACTGAGAAATTCCACTCACAAAACCCTCAGTCCTGTGGAAATTGCCAGATGCAAGGAAATGTATGCAACTTAACATCCGCACCATCCTCTGGGACAATGGCTCCCAGTCATTCTTAAGAATGTCATACAATCTCAAGAGAATTTTATTATGTATCTTGATAGGTGACGTGTGCATTCTTCAAATAGAAATTTAGTATTTTGACTTTTATGTGTGTATGAGCAGTGCTTGTATAAAATATTATTTTCTAAATGTTTGTAACATTATGATTCTCATAGTTGCACATGTGTGGATATAGATGTTTTTATATTTGTTTTGCACCAAATTTTTAATGGTGCATTAATTAGTGTTCTAAAATTGGCAATATTATAATGTCATCACTAACATGCATTGCACCTGCCATGTTCAGCATCATATTGATTTTGATTACTGAGCATAACAGGTATTTTATTAAGAGTGAATAGTTGCCCAATCATTATTTTTTAAATTAAAGTGAGCAGCTAGCTTGAGTAGCTAATTGAAATGAACAGCTGCTAGTTTCTCACTGTTTAGTTGAATGCCCGCCAAGTGCACTTGCTGCTAAGTTAATATGCTCACTGTTTACTTGACAAACTCACTGTTTAATTCACATGTCAATGCTGTTTAGTTGACATGCTCACGGATTAATTGGCAAGCCCACTGTTTAATTTATATGCCCACTTTGTAGTTAACAGACTCAATGTTTAATTCACATGCCCACTGTTTAGTTGACAAGACCACTTTTTAATTGACATGCCCACTATTTAGCTGATAAGTTAACTATCTAGTTCACATGCTTAGTGCCTAGTTGATATGCCAATGCTGTTTAGTAGTTTTCATGTTTTAATGCATGAAAACCAATTTATCAAAAATTTTTTACTTTCAAATTCGATAATCCCATTCCAAGGTCGATAAATACCTGATAAATAGTATTGAATTGTCTAATCTGATCATTTTAGTGAAAAATATATTATTGATATTTAATATATTTTTTTTAAATGATAATATTCAAGTTGATAAGCCTAACCTTTTTTTTATTAAATCGATCCGAGCCGTTAAAAGGCTTATCTGGAACCTTTAAACTGCTGACAACATCAGCTGATATTCAATCGGGGCCTTATTGGGAGTTTCACTCTGCTGCCTTTTTAATTCAGCTTGCTTCCTGGAACTGGAACTCTCAATAATTCTAGACAGCACTGAATCATGTATGTTCCAGTGTTACCCTAACCACTAATCCCTTCACTATACTACCCTAACACTAAACAGTAATCCTTACAATACCTTAACTCTTACACTACACGAAACTCATAACCGCTAACAATAACACTAACTTGAACCCTAGCCCCAATACTAACTTCAACCTCAATACACTAAGGTTAAGGGCCTAAACCCAATCTAAAAATTAAATGTATTATAAAAAATACAAAACAGTGATGTTTGTATTGGGAAACACTGCCATCATGTGGATTATTATGAAATCTGCAGAACCCCTTCGATAGAATTGTTATGGAAAATGTAAAGCAATGTGAGCAGGATATTACTTCACTGCAGAGGGCTTGAGATAGATTGGGAGACTAAAAACTCAAATGGGAGATGAAATTTAATGTAGATGATAGCATTATACAATTATATTTAAGGCGAATACAAACCATTGTCTGAAAATCTATTTATAAACAGGACAATTTATAGGACATGAGGTCACGCATCTAGACTGGAAGAAAGGAGATTTAATCTAAGGCAAATAAAATGTTTTTCTTGCAGTAAGAACAATAAGGATGTGAAATTCTGTACCTGAAGAGGAGCTTTCATCATAGTCTGTAGAGATGTTAAAACTGCAACTGGATGAATACTTACAAAAACATAATATTTGGGATAATCCCCAGGACGTACTTGAAAACCAGAGTAATCTGAATGTTCCTCTCCTGGTTAAATACTTTGTTAGTATTATTAATATATAATTTTTAATAGGTAGGGTATCAGTTGTTGATCCAAGTAGAGATCTGACTGCAATTCTAGGGTCAAGAAGGAATTTGTTCCTAGTATGCTTCAAAATTGGAAAGCACATCAAACTGTTGATTTCATTTTCTTTTGGATCAACAAGAAAAGCAAATGTGAGAAAGGCTGAACTTGAAGCTCGGATGTTTTTTTCAGCTATGTAGCTATATAATAAAAACAATATTTATAATTACAGTCAGTAACTACTAATGCAAAGTAGGATTTATAGTACAGATTTAGATCTCGTAATTCTCTTTGCACAGTTTTCATGTAGGTAGTGGATGCAATGATCCAAATACATTTGCTCAGTCCATCGCAGATGCCCTTTCGGTTTTTGAAATAGCATCAGAGTTTGGGCACAATATGAGACTGCTGGATATCGGAGGAGGCTTTCCTGGTACAGACAACTCTGAAATCAAATTTGAGGAGGTGAATATAATTTTAAGATGATTTTTGAGGTTTAGGCCAGCTAGGTTATGAGACTCTAAGCCTAAAATTTTTCTCTATATAAGTTTGCAGCTGTAGTAAATTCTGCACTGGACCTGTATTTCCCAGAAAGCTCTGCTGTGGATATAATTGCTGAACCAGGGAAGTATTATGTGGAATCTGCATTCTCCCTGGCTGTTAACATAATTGCCAAGAAGGAAGTACAGTTGGTCCAATCTGGATCAAATGGTATGTGTTCTATGTTTCTCCAGTGGCTGAGAAGATATTAATGCATTCACAATACTGATTATGTTTAGCAAAAGAATACAATTATTTCCAAAAAATAAAATAATACAAACAGATTGGCACCCAGGAGTCAGTGGTGCTGGTATTAAAGAGTAATCCCTAAACTCCCAAATAACAAAATAGAACACAAAAAAATAAAAAAAAAACTGATATATACTGCGCACCCAAAAAAGAACAAATATTGGCTATGCAAATATATTGTGTCAATGACATTTACAAAATAATGATGCAGAAATCAGTGCTTAGTTCGAAGACCACTCTGCTGATGTATGAAATAACATCTCTACTAAAAAGAAAAACGGGAGCAATGAGATATGCCAATAAATCAACTTGACAGCAGATTACATACAAAAAGTACAGGGTATTCATTGTAAATGTTATTTTGGTGCTGAGGAAAACAGGGTATTTATAATGAGCACCCTAGTATCAAGTTCTGTTTTGTCTTTATTGACTGATATGTGTGCCCTTCAACGTTAGTAATAGTTTCCATAGAAACGGTACTCATTAGAGCAATAGTAAACAGGAGTTATTTGGACCAGACCAAAATGTGTGTCTGTGAAAAATATGTTATAAGGAAATTCTGGTATTTTTAGTAGAGATAAAATTATAAAATCTGCAGAACATCGTTGACATAATCTACTTTTTTTTTTTCTTTTTAAGGTGAGGAAAGTGGTCCTATCAAAAATGTATTGTATTATGTTAACGATGGAATCTATGGATCATTCAGCTGCAAACTCTATAATCATGCTCATCCAAAGCCTGTCCTGCACAAGGTATAAATCTTCCTCTATTAGGCTGATTTTGCTTTAAAAAAAATAGACTGACATTCTGACATTTAACGCTGATTATATAATCACTCTTTCATTGCTCTACACGGTCCTCTACCAACTCAACACACACGGATGCTGATCACACCCCACGCACATGTCACATCCTATGATAAAAACACGCTAACAAAGCCCCTGAATAATACTGCAACAAACACAACCCCACTCCTACACAACATGTTGAAGGCAACACTTCCTAAGGTTATTTGTTTTCTGTTATTGTTCTTCTATAAAAAACTAAACTCTGGCAGTGAGCGACCATGTCAACCAACACAACAGAAAAACCTCAACAAAATGACTCTCGACTTTCTTTTCCTTTCTGTAATATATAATTGACATATGTATATCATATGGCTTTTGCATAAGCCTAAAAATGTTATAGCAAAAAAAACCTGATCAATTGGATCTATATATCTGTTTTCTATCGTTTGTAAAGTTCTGATTCAGTTATTTATATATGTATATATATGTTGCTTGCTCTTCAAATTGTGTAGGTTTGTTTATATTTCTATGGTTTTCAATACATGCAAAAGGATAAGTTGGCAAAGGCTAGTCTTTGTTCAAAAATAAATTATTGTCTGTTAGTTCCATATAAAAAAAATAAATAAAAATAGACTAAATTCCATCTGCTGCTGATTGCGACTCTTATCCTACTCATCCACTTATTTACATAGCATTATGATTCTAGTAAAAAAAGAAAAAGGTGGTTAAGAATTGCCTATCCCTTTTCTTTTACATTACCATCAGTAAATATGATTGCATTGCAATGATGTTTCCTGGAGAACTAGTTCAATAGTAGTTTCTAATAGTAAGGTTCTGTCATGTGGCAATAAAAAAAGATGACTCAAAATACAAAATCAGACAAACAAGTATAGTACAATGTCATCAAAACAGATGTTGGTGCAACAATAATGCAACAATAGTAGCGGTTCTCTTATTCTGAATTGTGTTTTGTGATGTTACACAGTGCATACTGTTGCTGATCACCATACTTTGTGTGTTCTTTTTACAGAAGCCTTCCCCAAATCAGCCCATCTATAGCAGTAGCCTTTGGGGACCAACCTGTGATGGTTTAGATCAGATTGCTGAACATCTCAACCTACCTGAACTGTATGTTGGGGACTGGCTTTTATTTAACAGCATGGGAGCCTATACAGTGGCAACCTCTTGTTCTTTCAATGGCTTTCTTCCACCGCAGATCCACTCTGCTATGTCACGCCAAACCTGGTAAGAAAGTTATTTTTATATTACATTTTTTTTACTGCTTTAATATTGTCTTCTTTCTAAAAGGAAATAAACATTGAATACAATACTTCCTTTACCGCTTTATAACAATAATATGTATTGTTGGTATTTTATTTCCTGCCTATCACAGGGATGACGTACAGCTGTTGAGAAGAGGAATAGAGCAAGCTGTAACGAGAGAGAAACTGCCCGTATCACCGTGTTTTGTGGATGGCAACTAGCAGACCTCATGTGCTTGATGATTTTACTTCTGCTGGCATTATCTAAATTCCCAAGTGTGACTTAATAAATATTTTCTGGAAAGGATAAGTGTGTATTGCTCACATATTCCCAACAAAAAAACTCCCCACATATATACACTATTAGAGTTCCAATATGATCATTTCATGGAATCTGCCATTTGTATATTCCTAAATCTGAATATAAAAAATAATAACCACCTTATTGTCTGTAGTAAACCATAAAACAATCTTACATGAATGGATTCACTTATATGTGTGACCGGTGCAGTGCGTGTATAAGGGGTGCAGTCAGTGGCATACACACAATCCATGGGGCTCCGGTGCAAAACTGATCCATGGGGCCCCCCATCCCCACCCGCCATCCCCCCAACCCATCCCCCCCGCCACCCCATCCCCCCCACCGCCACCCCATACAGACACACACAGAGATACACACAGACACACATACATACATACATACAGACACACATACACATACATACAGACACACACATACATACAGACACATACATAGACACACAGACAGACACATACATAGAGACACACAGACAGACACATACATAGAGATACACACACAGACACATAAATACAGACACACATACATAGACACACAGATACATACAGACACATATATAGACACACACACACACATACATAAACACACACACACACATACACTAACACACACACATGCAAAATCTTTTAGTCACTGTAGAATATTGTATATTCTATGTTTCTATTGATTATATATATGGATGTGTGGATTGACATAAGTAACAGATGGTATCAATAAGTCACAAGGCTTTCTTTGTCCGAGAGCTCTGGAATGTGGATGTGGGGGTCTTTTCCTTATATGGCTAGAGTTAAACGCTGACGTTAGTATGAGCACATCTAGATAGTAAGAGAGGGACACGAGGTCGCTCTCTTGTCTCAGTCTTGGCTTGGCTCTTGGCTCTGTACAACGATGTAACTCTCCCATCAGAAGTCCAGCAATTACCATCTGCTGTTGAATGTCCATTATCCTGTAACATCATTTATTATGTTTTATTATGTATCTGTAACTAAGAATAAACCGGAAGAAACCGTAAGTCAGATTGCGTATTACTACTTTTCAATAATATAGACATATATTATTGTGGCGAGCATTTGGCCCAAGACTATATATACAAAAGACTTATATATATCAATCAACTGAAGATGAGAAGAAATTAAGAAGATTCTACATGAACACCAATCTCATCTAGATTTTACAGTCACCCTCCTATTACTTACCTTTTAGGGACAGGAGGGTGACTTCCCTGGGGTCCAGTGGCTCAGGTTGATGGGAGTTCCCACTCTGACTCCCTCGGCTTCCTCCTGCTCGGGCTTCTGGTGGTTGCTGGGAGGAGTGACCGCGGCAGTCACTTCCTCCCAGTGTCTGACATCATCAGAGGGGGCCCGATCATGCTGTTACCGGGCCCAATCTGATGATTTTCTTTTCCATCGGGTTGCCCTAACAGCATGGGCCACCTGGTGGGCCCGTTCGCCTGCGGCCCCAGCAATTATACAGCGCTGCCGGGGCCGCAACACATGGCGGTGGGCACCCGGTCGCAGGTTGCTGCTGCGACCCCTGCGACCGCGGTATGTACGCTGCTGGGTGCAGTGTGTGTGTGAGCGATGAAGGTTGTGTGAGGGGTGAAGTGCGTGTTTAAGGGGTGAAGTATGTGTGTGAGGTGTCCAGTGTATGTGAGTGTGTGGTGCAGTGTGTGAATGTGTAAGAAGTTAGTGTGTGTGAGGGAAAATGGGGGCAGATTTGAAGCAAATATATAGAAGGTTTAAAAAAATATATATATATATACACTTTATATCCGTCCTCCCTTCTTTCCTTTGCCCAGGGAGGAGGGCTATTGCAAGCAAGCCCTGGTGGTTCAATAGGGAGTAAACTCTAGCCCGCAGCTAGAGTTCACTCTCGCGAGATCTGTATCGTTGCCATGGTAAACGCTCTGAGCTCGTGAGAGGAGAACCCAGCAGAGCTGCAAGTAATAGCTCCCAGGTCCTCTCTCCCTCCCCTGCCGGCTGCTACATTTCAGTGCGAGTGGGCTGGTAAGGGAGATCTCTGATCTGCCCTCCAGTACGTGAAGGCACCCAGCGAGCGTGCTTCCAACCAATATGTAAATATCCTCAGCCTATCAGGGACTAGATACCATCTACACATAATTTTCTTTACAATTCTGAACTGTCGGCCAGTGAGGGCTCCCACATAAAAGTGCTTGTATTATTGATTGAAGTTGCATGTAGGAGAAATATGCACTTTTGGGTAGCAGTTCTGCAGATGAACAAATCTGCCCCTTATGACAAATTTAAATATTGTATCATGTATCAAATTTGAGTATTGTGTCCCAGGGCTCATAGTTAAGGGAGAAGAATAAGTTTACTCTCACAGAGTATAACGGAGTCGCTAGAGACCATGGGGTGTGTTTACAATATTGGGCTCTCACTTGGTCCCAAGTTGGGCTGGTATTCTTGATATGTAAGTGAGCATTGTCCCATGAAAGCTCCCCTGTCGTAGTCTACTAAATGGGGAATTCCAATACCACATTCCTCTATTATTTTGAATCAAGTTAAGGACTATTCAAGACTTCTTTCAATTCCAAATGAAAGCTACTAAACTCTTCTGGAAGAAAAAAAAAGCTTTAGGCATGTGTATTTGTAAATTCTGAAATAGATATTAAAATGTAGGCACTATTACTATCTTTATTGCCTCAATTTGGCCTGACCATGACAGAAATTTATTCTCCAATGATGCCCATGATCCCTCTATTTCATTCTTAAGTTTAACACAGTTTTGTTTGTAAGGGTCTGTCAATTTTCCATAAAGAGGATACCTAGAAAGGTAAGAAAGTTATTTCTCAAGTGAAATTCGACTTCCTGTTTTAATCTTTCCATAGTATGTTTTGGGATGCTGATTCCTATAGCCTGTGTTTTTTGAATATTTAATTTATAGTATGATAAAGTGCTATATTCTTGAATGCTTTTACATCAATTTGATAAGGTCATTGAAGTTGCATGTAGGAGAAATATGCACTTTTGGGTAGCAGTTCTGCAAATAACTGGTTGTATGAGTAAGAGGTCATCTGCAAATAACTTAAAGGACCACTATAGGCACCCAGACCACTTCAACTCAATGAAGTGGTCTGGTTGCCAGGTCCCACTAGTTTTAACCCTGCAGCTGAAAACATAGCAGTTTCAGAGAAACTGCTATGTTTACACTGCAGGTTAATCCAGCCTCTAGTGGCTGTCTCCCTGACAGCCACTAGAGGCCGCTTCCGCAATTTACATGGAGTAAATCACATTTATTTGATGCTGGATGGAGTCCAGTGTCAAAAAAGTTTCCCATAGGAAAGCATTGAGTAATTTGAATGTGCGCGCGCCACTGGCCGCGCATGCACATTCGACTCCACTCTGAAGCTGACGTAGATGGAGGAGGAGAGGTCACCAGTGCCAAGGGAGCCTGGCGCTGGATGAAGGTAAGCAAATAGATGGTTAATACACCATTTATTCATGGCAGAACGGGGCCCCAGTCACCTAAACTGTGACTAGAGCTCTATAGTGTTAGGAATACATATTTGTTTTCCTAACGCTATAGTGTTCCTTTAAGTTTAAATTCTCTGTCTTTTATATAAATGCCATGTATAATATGATTTGTTCTAATAGAGGATGCCAGAGGTTCAAGGGTTATGACATATAACAAAGGAGATAGAGGACACCCCTGCCTTGTGCCATTGGATATGTTAAGAGGGGTTGACACAAAAACTGAAAGCAGTTGAAAGCTTTTTCGACGTCAAGGAATTGAGATTTAAATCTAAATTACAGCTGAATCATCATATACAGTATATGGAGGAGAAGAAAAAAGAGAGAACGTGTTAGTATTAATTTAACACCATAAATATTATTTAACCCTGTGGTTTTAGTGACATTTACAGTGGCACAGTAATAGTAGCCTTTAAAGTGACACAGTGACAATGTCATGAGGTGAAGCAAAGTATCATAATAAGAAGATTTTGAGTGGATACCTGAACCTTTTTTTTTTAAAGAGGTATACCTCCCAAAATCTATTTCTTTGAATTGCACAAAATAAAGTAAATTAAATAAATTAGAAAAATTATATAAAATGACAGATCTCAAAGTCATTATTCATTCCATTAGGGATGAGAGTATTCGGTTCAAATATCCATCTCATTTCTATATGGGCCTAAATTCTGAATCAAATTTCCTCCTCTCCAGTAATTTTTAACCTGTTGGATCCCTATAAAGTTTAGAAGGGAGGGGTCAGAGTTGTGAAATTCCTCAAAGTGTAGGGAAACTTGGTGTAGTTGATACTTTTTCTTAATGTTGTATGTATGCTCGCATATTCTTGTTTGTAATTGTCTGGTCGTACGGCCTATATATCTCAAGCCACATGGGCAAAATAACATATAGATTCCATTTTTCGTTTGACACGTTATGAGTTCTTTTATCTTATATGTCTTTCCATTGGCTTTAAACTCTTTATTGTTTTGTTTATCACTTCCCGTATTACGGCAGGCATTACAGTAGCCACATCTAAAGAATCCCTTCAATTGATTAATAAAATTAAATTTAGCTTGATTTTTATTTGGAATTTTATCAGTTAAAATTCTTTTCATACTTTTCACCCCTCTATGTACTATTTTTGGGATAGGTGGTAACAATTTTACTAAAACTGGATCTTTTAATAGCCAGTGCCAATGTTCAGAAATTATTTTTCTAACTAGTTTATTCTGAGGACCTGAAAACTGACAAATAAAAGGAACATCATTCCCTTGTTTTTTGCTTTCTTTAGTTCTATACTCCAAAAGATTATCTCTATTCAAATGCTGAGTGTCTTCTACAGCTTTGCGTAGAATATAATCATGATAGCCTCTCTCCTTAAAATCGGACAAAATCCGTTGGCTCTGATGTAAAAAAACCTTTTGATCCGT